GGGGGGGGGGGGTACATAATGTTGGTTGTGCTTGCTCATAGCCCGTGTGGGGTAAAGCGGGGTGTCTGCTCGCAAAGAGAGGGGTGAAACTGGTGGGAGGGTTATTTGGGCACCACTGGTGTGGTTTCCCCAGGTGGCTCTGAAGCAGCTTGTGCTCCTCAGCCATCCTCACTTGGCTCTGCCTCCTGTCTTCTTTGATGGAGCTCTGGTTTTAACTGAGCAGCAAAGAGCCTGGTGCTGGATGAGCCCCAGCAACGCGGACCTTCTGTTCACATCACAGCTTTTTCCACCTCTAGGCGTTGGTTTGGGGCAGAGCAGGGACGAGGTGAGACAAGTGACACTGGATGCTCACTGATCTTTTGACACCTGCCTGTCTTGTGCTCTCTCAGGCCCACAAAACTTCCTTAGCACAGTCGTCACCGGCAGAGGCAAATTCAAATAAATATTTTGTTAAAGTAAACAAGGTTCGAGGTGTGCTTCCGCCTGAATTAGCTTTTTTACGTAAGCTTTTGTAAGCAGGAACAGTCATTTATTTCATGCTGTTCCGCCTGCTATTAGCCCTGGCAGAGCCATTTCAGTTCTGCACTCACGAATCACTACTTGTTTGAGTTTAAAAAGTTAGTATCTTCGAAATCGTTAATGAAATTAGCTTTTTGTGGGTGCCGGAGCCCGTGTGGAGTGGTTTGGTAAGGACGGGGGCCCCAACATCAACCCTTTGGGGCTCACCCTTGGTTCTCTGTCCGCAGCCCGCAGGGTCCCGTCTGCCCCCCCTGCGCCGACCGCCTGCACCTCTCCCTCGTCCACAGCGACACGGGGCGCTCCCCGCTCTGTCCCCTGGCTGGAGAGGGGACCCCAGCTCACCTCGTCCCCCCCCGCACCCCCGGATGCCACCTCTGCCCCGTCTGCACGGCGCCCACCCACTCCCACCTCTGCCAGGCACCCAACGGTAGGGACCCGCGTGGGGACACCCCAAAACACCCTTCGGGGACCTGGGGGACCAAGGTGCCACCAGCCAGCGGCTGCAAAGGGCAGGTGGCATCTAACCCTAATTAACCACCCCTTTTTCCCTGTTGCAGGATAAATGCTGCTGGTGGTTGGAGGGAAGGGGGAGTTCCCACCTCCCAACGCCCGGCGCTGTCGGGAATGAAGCTTTAATTAAGTGCAATAAGGGCCACCCTGGAGTCAAGTGTCTGACTCCACCACCAGGAATTTCTCTGTGAAGAAGCAGGAAAATCAAACATATTTCAAAGCCAGCTCCGTGCTGGTTCAATGCTTAGTTTTCTTTTTGTTTGTTTTAGTAGGAAAAAAAAATCTATTTTTGCAGCTCTTGAAGCGAGGCTTCTAAAATCCAGTAAACGTTTCTTTCCACTAGAAAATAATTTCATAGGAAACACCCTGATTGTGCACACTCTTGCAAGATTTACTTGTATTTTTTTTAAACTACTTTTCTACTGAGGTCCATTTCCTAGTGTGCAGATATAAGTGTGAAAATGACAATATTTACAGCAAAACTGTTTTGTAAATAAAAGGAATATCAAATCAGCAACACTAGTATCCTGTCTTGGGGTTGTTTTTTGTCGGGTTTTTTTCATATTTACTAATCAAACCTTCTCACAGAGCACTTTAGATGATTTTGCAGTCTCATTCTTTGCCGGATGTAATTTGCTGCTCAGGTAATTGCTGCTGGGTCAGATAATTGCTGCTGTAGCTGCATCCCTGGCCTTTCCTGGGAACTGCGATGACGGAGGCGAAGTGTCACTGCTGGAGCAGAGCCCATTTCCAGCCCGGGCAGTACTGGGGAAGGTGGGTGCTCCTCTCCAGGTAGAACCTTCCTTCCCTTGGCCAACCCCAACTATTCCTGCACCGGGTCTATTCTCCACCCCAAATCCAAGGATTAAACCAATTGCTCCCTACTTAGTGTTTGCTGGCTCGTACTCCATGGGGACAAAATGACCAGCGATAATACAGAAGGTGTAAAAATTGCCTTTCTGGGTTACGGGGGTTTGCCGAGAGATGGAGTTTTGTTGGTGTTCTGGCAGGAGAAGGGCAGTGCTACAGGTAGGACACAAAGGTGCCCCGCAGTTCCCTGACTCTGCTGTTGTGTTTGTTGTTGAAGCAGGACACAGCACGTTTCCGTGGGCTCGTCCTGCTGGGTGTGATCCTGGTAACGCTCTGAGGAAGAGGAGGCAATGCCCATCTGAACATCTGAGCTGCCCCGTGCCCTGGCTGCCATCCTTTGGTCAATCCTTTGAGCCAGAGGCTGTTCCTGGGGTGCCCGGGTACCCCCCACGGGGACGTGCCCCAAACCTCACCGAGCTGACGCAGAGGGTGATGAGGAGAAGATGACAAGGGCACGGTGCCACCCAGGTGTGGCAGGAGGACAAAGTGCTCCTTTTCACGGGAGATGGCCTTGACCGTGGGGCAGGGCGATGGGGACGGACCAACCTTCGACAGGATCCCTGAGCCGGGGAGACACTCCCACGGATAAATCACGCAGGTTGGGTCCCGCGTGACTCATTTCTCGGGTGAACCCCGTCGGTGTCGGTGGGGAAATAAGGGGCAGACCCGGTTCTGGCCGTTCCCCGGTTTTGGGGGCAGCGTTTCCCACCGCCCCGAGGAGAAACGCCGTGGGAAGGGCCACGGGGGTCCCGGTCGCGTTTCCTACAAAACAGGCGGAAGGAAAATAACCCAGCCTGCCCACGTCGGTGACACAAATCCGGGAAC